GCCAGGGAACAGATGTTCCTGCAATTGACTTACTGGGACTGGGAGGGACAGAAAGGTATCGGGTTCTGTGGGAGGGGTGGGTGGAGGAGGGGGAAGCAGGTGGAGACAGAGCCCTGGCTCTTGGGTGAAGAAGCTACAAGTGCACTTTCTGGGACAACCTGGAGCCACCACAAGAAGCTTAGAGCCTAAAACTGGGTGGTGAGCGGGAGTGGACAGAAAGGACAGGGGCTAAGCCGCCGGGGCCCCCTTCTCAACTAGGGCTCAGAGCTAGTTCTGACTAGGTCCAAGACTGAAAAGTTCATAGTCCCAAGAGCTCTGCTGGTTTCAGGAGAGCCCGAAAAGGGTAGGAGAGTGGTGACCCACGGGGAACCTTCCCAATGGGGTGCATTTAGGGGGGGGGGGTCTCAGGCTGCCTGTTTGGGATAGGGCCAGATCCTACAGCTCCCGAAACACCCAGGGCTAGTAGTGGACCAGATCATGAAGGTGGATATGATCCTGAATCAGAGTTACTAGGGGTGGTAGCCTAAGGACTGAGTACCTAGGGCACACACTCACAGAGGCTCATTCTCCCTCACCCTTGTCCAGAATTTCATTTTAACAGAGCAGCAGCTGCTGCTACCGAGCCTACCACCACTGCACCCAGATGGAGCTGGTGTAGCTGCTACAGACCAAATACTCACTTTCTGCCCACACCCTGCAGTCACTACAGGCCAGCCTGAGCCAGAGGGAGGGAGGACAAGCAAAGCCTCAGGATCAGCAAGAGTGATTACCAGGGGGAAAACTATCCCCTCCCAGGCTGTGGACAACTCACTGCAGCTCTATCTCATATCTGCCTAAGTCACTGGGTGTTAGGGCTCACCCCTTCCCCCCACATGGACAACCCATCTTCTCTCCTAGCATACTCCAAATCATAACCCAGCCTGGGGTCAAGCCAGCCGTCTCCTCCCTAACTGGGCCTATGTTCCTCATACATGAACCAAACTCAGAGGGAGGCAGGCTTCCCTGCCTTTTTTTTTCCTGAGATATCAGGGGACCATCTTCCTGCAAGACAGGCAGCTGACTCGCGCTCCAGATAGCCCCCCTCAGATCCTGGACCTCAAATACCATCCCTGAACTGGAGACATAGCTGGCAGACACTCCCAGACACATACACACTAAGAAGGGGGGACTGGGGATGTAACTCAGTTGGCATCAGGCTCTGGATTTGATCCCCAACACCACATAAAATTGTGATGATGGCATGCATCTGCAATCCCAGGACTCATGAGCTAGAGAAAGGGGATGGAGAAATTCAAAGTCATCCTTGGCTAGATCTCAAGTTCAAGGCCAACCTGGGCTATATGAGACTGTGTCTTAAAAAAAAAAAAAAGCCAGCTAATGTCATTCTAATGTCAGAGGACACAGGTGGCAGGTGGCTTGCTTGGCTTCAGGGCATGAACACCAATGTCCTGATGGCTCTAATCGTGGCCCTTTCTGGCAAGAAGAGGGCCGCTCTAAACTGAGATCTCCTTACAGGTATCTTTGGAAGATACTAATATCTGAATTTTTTATTTTATGTATATAAGTGGTTTGTCTGCATTTTTGTATGTATGTATGTACATCACATATATGTCTGGTGCTCAAAGAAACCAGAAGAGAGTGCTATGTCCCTAGAACTGTAATTACAGCTGCCATGTGGAGGCTAGAAACTGATCTCGGGCCCTCTGGAAGAGCTGCCATCTCTACAGCCCCATCTATCTAGCCCCTTTTTCCCACTTTCTCTCCCAGGGCTTCCTGTTTGCATGGAGCTTTCCCATAGCGATCCACCTGCTACAGAGGTAAGCAGGGCACAACACTATCTACAACAGAAAAGGAGGAAAGAAAGGTAGTGGGGCCAGGACAAGGGTCTGGAACTGACTCCCAGGTCACTTAGGTGCCATTCTAGTGAAATTTTTATATGAACACAGACTCCACACCCTCTAATGGGTACACTAACTGTACAGTCTCTCTACCCACATTCTCGAGGCACTGATGACAGTCCCAGGGACGGAGGGGCTCATTTATTCCCAAGGATGTTTGAACCAGGGCTTTCATCTTGATTCCAAAGAGGGCATCTAAAGAGTTGCCAATGAACTGAGTGTGTGGTACCTTTAATCCCAGCACTTGGGAGACAGAGGCAGATGGAGCTCTGTGAGTTGAAAGCCGGGGTTATATAGTGACCCTGTCTCGAAAAAATAAAAATAGAACAGAGTTGCCAAGGCTAAACCAAGGCTACAGGGATGAGGTCATAAGGAACTTGCAAAGGTGAGGGAGGAAGGGAGGAAGTGCCGGAAGCCACATGCTGTGTCTCTCCGCCTGGAACCCTCCTACCTTCTCACAAACCTTCATTCCCTGCCCTCTTGCACCAATCCTGCCATGTCCTCTTGGCTTTGCCCCCTGCTAAAATCTTCATGAGCCTTGCCTCTGTTATCAGAGTAAGGTTAACTCCCTCACGAGGCTCTTTGCCATCCTACATCTGCCAGCCTTGCCCACAACATCCCCAACATTCTAACCACACCAAACTGCCTTCACCTGGGAATGGAGCAGTGTGGAGGAGGCCTGCTCAGTGGCTGGTTGGAGATTCCTCCGGACACACACACACACACACACACACACACACACACACACACACACACACCTAAGCATGCGCACTCAGGTAGAAGTCCGCCACTTACATGCATGGGGTTTCCTACCAGACCACTCACCACGCTGCCCTTCCAGCCACAAAGAAACCAGCAAACCTGCTTTAGGGATCTCTGAAGAGACTGGGTATGGTCGCATGACCGTCCTCCAACACCTAAGAGACAACAAGGAAAGCAAAGGTACATCCCCCTAACTCTGCCTGAGCCTTAGGTTGGCCTCAGGGTATCTGAGCCCCAAAAGGCAACAGAGAACAACCAGAAAGGTACAGACCAGGTCCTTGTGCTGGGCCTGTGACTAACTTGCTGTACCGTTCCAGATAGACCATCTTCTCTCATTCTCCAGCTACAAGACAAATGGGTTTAGCTAAGCTGACCCCAAAAAACTCTCCAGACCCACAGCTCATGCCAAGGTCTAAGAATGAGACTTTAAGATAAGGAGGGCTGGACACCCTCGTGGAACAATCCCCTAGCATCACCACATGAAGATGAAATGGGGACTTGGGCAGCAAAAACCTGAGTCAGGAGAGATGGCAGCCAAAATCCAAAGGAAGGGCGTACCTTCAATAATCCATAATTGATAAGACTCATGTGTATTTAGCTATTCATTCATTTTACTTTTCAGTGCTGGGAACTGAACTAGGACTTCACACATGCTAGAATAGCAAGAACCATTGACTATATTCCCAGGATTCTTTTTAAAGCTCTTTGAAATGGGATCTCACGTCATTGCCTAGGCTGGCATTGAATTCTCTCTGTAGCCCAGGCTAGTCCTCCTACCTCTCAAGTACCTTGGGATATTTAGGCCTGTGTGGCCAGGCCCGGCTACATAACTGACATTGATGGAGGGGAGATGGTCCCATTGATCAGTAGCTGTGAGGAATTTGCATATTTTCATCATCCTGGCTGACCAAATAGATAGGTGAGCAAATACAGTGAGTTAAGCCCACCAACTGTTTTGCTCTAAGGGGGCCCAATTCAGATCCTAGACCCCAGACTCTAAAAGCATACAGGAAAGGGACCAAGGTAGGCAAGGGGAGCTCTGCCAAGTTCTGCCCATATGCAAGACCCTTAATAGACAATGGTGGCAGCCATACCCACAAGCGACCCTACTCTGAAAAGCACCTGTGGGACTGCACATGCATTCTGACACCAGTGTCCAGTGCCCACATGCTCACCACACAAAGACAAGTCCTTGGTCCCTGGCCCTCTCCTCTTGAAGTTCTTGCCTACAACTTGGTGTCCACCGGGTATACATTTCCATGGTCAAGCATACAGAGACATGACCCCTCTAGCAGATGCCAGAACACCAGTGTAAAGACAAAATCCCCTGAGACTTTGACCCTCTACACCAGGAAAGAAAATGGTACACACCATTCCACTTCCCTAAACGTCTCTGGTCCTCAGAGGCAGCTCGCCTTGCCTCCCTCTCTCTCCATACCTGGAACATGCAGGATCTAGGTCTCCGCGTCATAGTCCAACTGCTTGCCAGACTGTCCAGAGCCCATGGTGAGGGGTGGCTCTTCCCAGGACACCTCAGCTCTGACCTAGGGCTCCACACACCCTCACAGTGGAAGAAGGGCCCATAGGAGCAGCCCCAGGCCTCACTGTTCTCTATGGCTTTTTATTCCTATGTGATTCTACTGCTCACTCATATAGGGATTGGAGCCGTGGCGCACGGTGAGGAAAACCAACGGAGAGCTCTGATACTGAGCAAGGAAGCTCAATGACAGCCAGACCAGTGGCTGCAGACCAACCCAAGGGACTCACTTCTGACAGCTGTGACTGGACGGGGTGAAGGACTGTTGAACCCTACTGCTTGAGTCCTGGAGACATGTACTGAAATGCTGGCACCAGGACCCTGGCTGTGTACCCAGAATACACGGAACATGACGTTTACAGAACATGGCATGTTTAGCCTGGGGAAATGGGACAGGTATGAGAGAACAAGCTTAATGCCCTGCATCCTGAAGAAACCCCTTGATAAGATAAAGGATGAAAGCCAAGAGTGGTCCAAATAGTGAAGGGATATCCTTGGTAGCAAGTAGAAAAACTGCTACCCAGCCAGGCTACAGCAGGAGAGGAGAAACCACGGCCAGGTTGCCACAGGGAGTCAGGGTTGAATAGGTCACAGTCCTTACACCTCTCCTGCTCACCAACGTTGAGGCTGCTAGGGGCCATGGTCAACCCTCACAGATTCCCATCAACAGACCCTGAGTGTGCCCCGCAGAGAAGGGGGTGAGGAACCCTGTGAGATACTGGCACCAGCGCTAGGACCACACCATGGTCCCCTTCCCAGCAGCTACTCAAAGCTTTGCACCAGAGAAGCACTGAGAGATGAGCTGAGACCCCCACAATGTTCCTTTTTATTTTCAGGCTCCCTAGCTTCACTCCATGGAAGGCTAAGACCTGGACAGATGGGGTCCTGGGGAGAAAATCAGGACTGGGAACAGGCCAAGGAGGTTCTTCTGGGCCTCAGCACTACCTGCTGACATGACAGGAGGGGGGGGAGAATCTGGTCGGGGGAATGAATATGGAGAAGATCGAGGGAGGTGGGTAGAGCAGTAAAGGAGCCAGGCTAAGGGGACAGGGAGTCCTAAAACACGACGAGGACCTGGGAACCAGCCCTAGATATTCCCAGGAGACCCTGCCCTTGTAAGCTCCTTATATATTCTCAAATATGAGCTATGCCATCACTGAGGACGAAAAATCAGAAGGTGGACATCCATGACATTGGTCCCTGTCAACCCTGTATGCAGCAAGTGTGTTCCACCCTGGAGGCTGCAAAAGAAGGTATAGGAGTCATTGTGGGAGAGGACGGTGGCTATGTCCAGGCCTTCAGCAGAAGCCTGGCTGACAAGATCAGACATGACCCAGGCTCCAGCCACCTTTGTAGGCCCATCCTGCCCATCAGTGCCTCCACTCAAAAATAGCACATCAATAGGCCCCAGTGGCTGTGTGCCCAGCTCTGTTCCCACGCGCAGGGCCAGTTCTTGGTTCCGACCACCCTTGCCAGATCCCTGCAGCTGCACTGTGGGCTCACCACCAGCCAGGAGGCAGACTGGGCCTTTAGCCTTTGCCACAGCTTCCAGAGCCTCCTCCAGCTGCAGGTCTGGGAGCTGGAGCTCAGCTGCCAGCTGATGGAGTTTTGCCTCTTCCTCCAAAAGATGCCCAGCTATGGGTGAAGTGAGACGGGCCGCAGCCACCCGGGCTAGCAGCCCATAGAATTGGGCCACGCTTTTTACATCACCCTGCATGGCTGTGCTCAGCACCGTGGCATGGTAGCCCAGCACCTCAGCGTGCCTCTGAGCCTCAGCCAGTGCCAGAGAATTAGAGCCGATGATCACATTGAGGACATGACCACAAGCATGCGGCCCGCGGGGGTCAGAGTCAGCTCGGGAGAGCACAGTCTTCACAGAGCGTGGCAGAGCAGCACGGAGACCGTAGCGATTAAGAATCTGCAGGCAGTCTTGCACACTGTGGTCACTGGCTACAGTAGGGCCGCTGGCGATCACCTCCAGAGGGTCCCCAATCACATCTGACAAGATGAGGCTTACCACCTAAACAAAGGACACAAAATAAGGCTCAATCTTGACTCCTCTCTGTCCCAGGGCCCTTATGAACAAACTGGTCCTGGGTGCACACCGCCTGGCATGCTTCCTTACCCTCTCACTGCCTTTGGCCTCCTCCCAGGACTTCCCCGTTGAGGTCCCTGCCAACTTGTACGTTGGACTTAGCTTCCATTTCCCTGTCACCTGTGGGAACCCAGGGCTGGCAGAAAAAGTGATGACTGCACCTGAGCAGGATAGGCAGCCTGAGCCAGCCCTCCACCCTTCAGCTGGGACAGGGCCTTCCGGATGGTGTTCAGCTCCTGGATTGTGGCTCCACGGGCTGCCAGCAGCTTGGTGAGCATCTGTTTCTCCTCCAGAGTGACAGGCGGGATGGGAGCAGGCAGCAGGGCGGAACCCCCACCTGTAGAAGCAGCAAGAGTGTTGGGGAGAAGGGAACCAGGTAGAACACAGGAAGTGGACTAGGACAATGGAGTTACAGTGCCCCCCTGTGGACATGGAGTGAAGTTGTTCCCCTAGCTGGGGTACTCCAAATCCCAGAAGATGCTAGGAGGGCTGCTAATATATACAGCTCAGTAGGAGAGTGTTTGCCTAGCCAGTGTGAAGCCCTAAACTCGATCCCCAGCACCAAAAAAAAAAAAATTATACACTTTTTTAAAGCATGGAATAAGTAAGAGCAAGAAAAAAACAGCAAACAACCAAATAGAGTTCTGTGGGGGCTGGAAACTCAGTTTGTGGAGCCCAGGTGACACCGTTGCATACAGCAACATTTTCCAAAGGTTCTGACATGTGTTAGCATGTTAGTGTGCCCTCACCATCAAAGTTCAGGATAAATGACTGCCCTGACATCACCCACAAGGTACCCTCTAGGCACCTCACTGATTCCCTTGGTTCCAACTCTGCCCTGTGACCATGGAGGCTCAGATGAACTTCTCAGGAATCTGGTATTTGGGGCACCCCCTGTCAGCTGGGACCCACACCTGAGATGAGCACAAGCAGCAGGTCATCGGCCGTGAGCCCCTCTGCCAGCTGCTGGATGGCCAGGGCAGCCCGCAGTGCATCACGGTCCGGTAGGTTGTCCTCTGCACCCTCAAACACCTGGATGCGGCTGTGTGGCTTCAGCAGCATCTCTCTGAGGAGAGAGCAGACAGGAAAGGGATGGGGTGGGCTCCTCTCCTCCTACCTGACTTCTCGGCTGTACAGGGAGAGTGACATGAGAGAGATAGCCCACAGCTCCCATCTTGAAACCAGGCCAGCCCCAGGAGATAGGGAGGCCAAAGAGAAACAGAGAGGTTTGCCTTCAAGGGGCAGTAGAGAGGAACCTTCCACCCCCCATAAAGTCTTACTGCTTTCCAGCGTGCTCCATAGCAGCTCGGATCCCCTTGGGAACGCTGATCACACCCTGCACAAGATGCTGGCCCAGTAGCTCCTCAGCTGCAGCTGCCATGCCCAGTACAGCCTTGCCGAAGCCCACTAGGTAGAGGTTTTCCCGTAGCTGAAAACTCCGGTCCCGCACCTTCAGCTGTCTGCCACTAGAATCCAAGGAGAGTGCCCTTTGCAGCATGGGGCCTGGCTGCACAGCACCCACGGCACTCTCAAATAGCTGCCGTGCCTGTTCTGCCAAGGCCATACCACTGGACATCCGGGCCACCGGAGGACCCCAGAGGAAAGGACGTGACGGAGCTCGGAGGAGACAGGGCAGGACCTGGAGGGCTGCAGCCATGCCCCCGCTTCTCTCAGCACAACCTTGTATCCATAGCTGCCTGGAGAGGGAGGAGAATGAGTGAGGCCACAGACAGAACCCCACCATCATGGCCACCCTACTGAGACCTCAGGACTGGTGGACTCCATAGCCATGGCTGCAAGAGTGAGCCATCTGAAATGAAAGCTAAGAATCCATGAAGCCTGCAGGCACCCTGACACTACTCCAGTCCTGCAAGCCCAGCCCTGATGCCCAGCCACGTCCTCTTCCTCTGTAGGCCACACACCAGTCTCTAGACACTCTGTCCCAAGTCCAAAGTTCCTATTCCATGGACCCTCCTCCTGAGACACCTCCTCTGGCTGGGAGTTAATCATTCACAAGGGCAGCTGTTCCTCCCAGTGGTCCCCTGCACCACCCACCCTTTTCCCACACCTCTGCTTCTACGTTCTCACACCAAGACTGTGCCCCTTTCTGGCATTTTTGCCTTATCTTTTTACCATTTCTACTGCAAGAAGAGAGGAAGAGAGAGAGAGAGAGAGAGAGAGAGAGAGAGAGAGAGAGAGAGAGAGAGAGAAGAAAGGAGAGCAAGGTTGTTGGTTGTCTCACAACTGACCCCAAGCCCACTGACCTCTAGCCTGCTCTATTGCATTAGCTCAGAAGACTAGTCTGGGACTGCTGGTTCTGTGTAGAAAGGATACCGGCTATCGGTGCACACAACCTGAGGATTCTCAGCACTCAAGACCAGTTCATCAAAAGGTCCGGGCACAGATCAGAGTAGCTACAAAACTGGACTCAAGGTGAGCCCTTTGGCAAGCCCCAGGTCATATGCAGGTGGACATGTGCTATGAGACTCAATCTCCAGCACAAGGAAAGGTGCCCTTCTACCCACACAGCTGGACAGGGTCAGCTTGCCAGGAACACCCCTTTCTGGCTCCATAATAGCAAAACAAGCTCTGAGTTACACCACTCACAGCAGAAACAGCCCAGTGCTGGAGCAGGCAAAGGCCAGACTCCTAACTGTGCCCAAACAATCATTTTCCCACTGGACAGAGTGAAAAACAGAGAAGGTCTTGGGGTAAAGGTCAGGCAGCTATACAGGGACAATGAAACCAAAGCACGCATCTGTTTAAAAAAAAAGTATCTAAATTTGGGGGTTGAGGAGTACTGGAGACTGAACCCAGGCTTTACATGTAACAAGTATGCACTCTACCACTGAGATAGATTAAAGCCCCTAAAAAAGATACTTACTAGAATAAATGTCTACCATTATGCTGGAAGACAGCTGTATCAGTAAGCGTGGATAGAAGAGGAAGGAGTCTAGGAACTGGGGTGCTAGTTTTTCTCAAGTGTGTAGTATATCTTTTCTCAAACTGAGCTCATTTGCAAGGTGGGATGAAATTAAGCCTGATTCTTTCAGGGAACTTGCAAAGTACAGTTCTGTGGGAGAGACACCCCTGCCGGACATCAGTCACGGACTCCTCCATAACAGTGGAGGGCTGATACTCTGCCTGACACCTCAGACTTTCTGATGCTCTGCCCAGTGCAACAGAGAAAACTCCAGGTAACAATTTATCACCCTCCTAAATAATGTGCAACTTCCAGACCTGTGCCAGTTAGCCAGGTAGCATACAGCCAACTTTCAAAAAAAAAGAAAGAAAGAAAAAATACTATGTCGTGAAAGGAATATACAGGGCACCCACCATGGGATGTCCGGTTTTCAAGTAAGAGATCCCAAGGGTTTGGAGCTAAACGCATCTTAGCTAAACACGCAATGCTCAGCTCTAGGTAAACTTAGTCTATCTCACAGAGGAGCAAAAGCCTAGAGGATCTCTATTTGACTCCAGGACAAAGGAATGCTCAAGATCAAAGTTGCCAGATAAAACGCTGGGCATTTGGTGAAATTTTTTTTAGTATAAATATGACCGGTACATTTGGGATTATTTGTAACTAAAATTACGTTGTGGTGAGTTGAAATCTAACTGGCCTTTTCAGTTGCCAAATCCCCAACTCTTTTTAAGACACTACACCTTTCCAGCTCCGGAGCGCTCCAATTGCTAAATGAGGAAATGGTAAGATCAGCCTTGACTCCTCCCGAAACAAACTGGAGTTGACATCACTTCCGGATTTGGCCAACCGCCAGGTTACCGGAAGTGGCGTCACCAGAGGTTGGTGGCCTGTGATCTTCGCGAGAGAAATTATTACTGCACAATGTTAGGTGTCGAAAAAATTAAGGGGCTGCTGTCGCCTGGATTCGCCTCCGTCTGGGTCAGGAACGACTTCCAAGATCCATGTTTATCCTTGAGAGGCAAACTTACCTTTTTGCCGCGTCCAGTGCTGGAGACCGGAAGTACTTTGGGTGGGTGGGTATTCATCCGGAAATGGCAGATCTGGGGCCACCCTAGAGACCAGGATCGTGACTTTCATGGCTTCTGACAGCCAGAAAACCTGAAAAGAGGCGTATGGAGTTCTCCGATTTCTGTATTCCTGCAGCGGATTCTCGGTGATTTGCAATTATCCTTCCCTCTTTGTCCTGTTAGATATAATCAGTCATTAAATACACTCCGAATTCCTGTTAGGTGCCAGACACTGGGCTGAAAGGTCAGAGAGCTACAGCCCACCGCTCTCGAGAGATTTAAGGTCATCCTTGTTCCTCCGCGTAGTTATAATTCCGTGACAATTCATTGATGTTTATCACTCTTCTCCATGAGCTACCTGATACAGCTGATTCAGCAAATGATTTTTTTGTTCCATGATCTTTGAACACAAAAGTGCAAACTGCCTGTAAACAAAAATGAGCCTGAGCCTTCTTCCTACCTGCTCTCGATCGCACCTTGTGTCCACTATGACCCAACCATGCTGCCTTCCCACATTTAAAATCAGCTGTTGGCTGGACTCCAAAAAAAAAATACACTTTTTTTTTAACTGACGGAAAATGTTTCTTCAGACATGTTTCCTTAAAACGTTTTGGATTTGTTGTTGTTATTGTTGTTGTTTGGGGTTTTTGTTTGTATTTCCATGTCCCCCATCACACAGGGACACACTGCATAGCCTAGGCTGATTTCCTTCAAGTTTATGATTCTCTTGCCTCAACCTCCTGAGTACAAAAATTGCAGGCATGTACTACTGTGTAATTGAGAAGCTTTGTCACCCACCCACCTACCGTTCTAAATTTCCTTGCTTCCTGATGCTTCCTCCACCCAGCAACATCTCTCTTCCTTTTTTGTGAAATCCCTTCCATTTTGTAACTCCATATCTGTTTTGCTATTCCATGTCAGTCTGGCAACCCAGTGGGATCCTGTCTCAAAAATACCTTTAAAAAGAAAGAGGAAGAAAGAGAGGAGGTGGGGTAGGCTGGGGAAGATGGTTCAGTAGTGAAGAGCACTGGCTGCTCTTCCAGACGACCTGGGTTCAATTCCTAGCACCCAAATGGCAGTTCACACCTTCCTATAACTCCAGTTCCAAGGGATATGGCACCCTCATATACACATGCAAGCAAAAGGCACCAATACACATAAAAATAAACCTTCAAAAGAAAGAAGAAGGGGAGAAAAAGGAAATCCCAGTTTCTGTTTGTACTCAGGACAACAGAGATACAAGAAGGAATTAAATCCACTCAATACTATTCAGGAGTTTACAGTCCAGTGTGCTTAATCTTCTTACTGTTAAATGCATCCTGTGAATAGTTTTGGAATGGCAATGGAGTATTAAAACCCGGGTAAAGGAAAATGGGTACAGGGAGCTGGAAAGATGGTTCCATAATTAAGGGCACTTGTTGCTCTGGTAAAGGTCTCGGGTTCTGTTCCTAGCACCCAAGGGGTTTACAACTATCCAGAACTCCAGCTCCAGGGAAGTCGATGCCATCTTCTGACCTCAGCCATCAGGCATTCATGTGGTACACATACATGAGGCAAAACATTTATACATATAAAGAAATCTTTTTCTAAGAAAATGAACACAAGGCTGGTAGTGTAGCTCAACTGATGGAGAGCCTGCTTAGCATGCACAAGGCCCTGGGTCTGATCCCCAGCATCACATAAAACAGTGTTTAGGGAGCATGCCTAAATCTCAACATTTAGAAATCAGGCTCTCAAAGTCATCCTTGTCTATGTCTATGAAGTTTAACATCAGTTTAGGACACATGAGACCTTGTCGCAAAAAAAAGAAAAAGAAGAAAGAGAGAAAGAGAAAGAAAAAATTGGGGGGTTGAAGAGATAGCTCAGCTGTTTAGAGTGCTTGATAGTCTGTCAAAGGATAGGGGTTCAATTCCTAGCACCCACATGGCAGCCTACAGCAATCTGTAACTCAAGTTCCAAGGGATCCAATTCCCTCTGGTCTCTGAGGGTATTAGGTACACACACCTTACACTTACCTATATGCAGGCAACACACACACATAAAATTAGAAAATAATAAGACAATGAATGAATAGTACCTGAGGAGAACACCCGAGGTTTTCTGTTGTCCTCACACACATGCACACAACTAAGCATACTCATTGCACATACATACAAAATAAGCTATCCACAGGTTCGATGTCTGGTCATGGCTTTGTTTCTGTTTCCAAAATGACAGTTTACCACTGTATCCTCCAGAGGAGATGAAATAAAACTTCACATGGTAGAGAGTTGAAGGGTCAGAGTCTCATAGAAGAGGCCTTGACCTCATTTACAAAGGACATACCCTCAGAATCTAACCACCTCCCAGAGTCCCCACTTTGTGTTGTTGTTTGGTTTTATTTCGGGTTTTGGTGTTTTGAGACCCGGTCCCACTGTGTAGTTATGGTTGTTCTAGAACTCACTATGTAGAACAGACTCATAGAGATCTGCCTGCTTCTGTGTCTGGAGTGCTGGCATTAAAGGTTTGCATCACCTCACACCTGAATAAAGCCCTACTTCTTACCATTATTCCATTGAAGAACGTTAGGGGGATACAGATACCCCAACAATGGCAGAGGTCAGTGGACCTGTGTACACCTAATAGAAGGTTCTGCAGACTCATTCACTGACTGGAATTCTGTGGTCCTGAGGAGCTAGAATGCTGCACATCTCAAGCTGAAATTATCTGGAGCAAAGTTTAGTTCCCTTGAGTTTTGTTGTTTCTTGGCCCTGGTGTTTCTTAGTATTTATTTTAGGCTATTTGTATGTGGTGTGTGTGCCTCTGTGGGGGCATATTCACATGAGTGTAGGTGTCCAAGGAAGCTAGAGTCCCCTGAAACTGAAGTTACAGTCAGTGGTGACTCCTCACATAGGAGACTGGAACTGAGCAAGGGTCCTCTAAAAGAAC